CTTTAAGTTCATTGTTTTACCAAATTTTAACAAAATCTCCATGAGGTATATACTATCAACATTCACATTTTATAGATGAGGAAACTGAAGTACAGAGGTTAAGTAACTTGCCTAAGTTTATACAACTAAGAAGTGCTTGAACTGAGTCTCTTGAACCAGGGTCTGACTCCAAAGTATGTGCTGTTTAAATGTTACACACCCTGGTACACCCAGTGAAAGGTATAGGCCTCTTCGGGCTGGAGGAACAGCACGAACTAAGATGTGGAGATAAGAGTGCATTTGCATAGTCATGGCATTGCTAGAAGATCATTGTGATTGGATGTTAGTTTGGAAATAATGGAGTATAGGAGGTAGGGCTGGAAAGGGTGTTGAAGGACCTCGTTTGTATTCCAGGCTAATGTACTTAGAATTTAGCCTGAAAAGACAGGAAGGTGTTGTTAAAGTATATTAGGGAAAGGAGTGCACATTTGCATTTAGAACAGTTATTTTGGGAACTGTTGAAAATACACTGGGGCTGAAATGGAGAAACCTTAAGGATGGAGGCAGGGAGCCAGTTAGGAGGTTATAGCAATAGTTCAAGGGAGAAAGGGTAAGTGTCTAGTTCATTCATTCAACAGACATTGGATTTAGGAACTATCAGATAACCAAAATTTGCCATGGCTAAAGAGAGGGAGGAATCTAGAATGATTCTTGGGGTCTGGTTGACTGGTGGATAATAGAAAATTTTCTATTTTCAATAGAAAATATCTACCAATAAGGAAGTCAGCAAAGGGTAGAGAGAGTTGGTAGATTTTTAGACATTGTTGACTTCAAAGTAACCATAGTACCTCCAGGTAGAAATGCACAACAGACAGCTGACCATCCAGAGTCAGTGGTTTAGAGGAAAGACAGGGCCTACTTAAGTTTAAAAATAGCATGCAAGTGGATAAAGCCATAGAAGTCAGGGAGAATATTGGTGGCGGTGGTGCTGCTGAATATGAAGCCCTTAGGAACACGAACATTTAGTGTGAATCAAGAAATAGATTTCAACAAAGAAAGCAGGAGGAAATTCATAATCAAGAAATACCATAAAGGCCGAGAGACCAAAGCAAGAAAGGAGCTTCCTGCTGGCTCAGGAACTGCAGAAAAGGCAAGATAGAAAGTGAACCATCCACATTCAAAGATTTTTCACAAGGGATTATTGGTGACCTTGGCAAGAGCTGTAGTAGCAAAGAAGTAGTAGGGGTGAAGGGGTGGAGGCCAGATGATGGAGAATTAAGGAGTGAATTGGAGTGAAGAAATGCTTATACATTATTATTTTGGAATGCTAAGGAAGATGGTGGCAAGTATGGGAATTTTAATTTGGAGAATATAGAAGCATTTTTTAAAGACTAAAAAATAAAGAGCAGCTCCATATAAATGGTATATAGAGACTGGGGAGGCTGATATTCAATTAGGGAAAGTCCTTGAGATTGATGGGTGTGGAGGCAGAAATAGAAACTAGCTCTCAGTTAAAGGGATTAATTTTCAACAAGGTGGAAGTGGGAGGAAAGAGGCATGGATAGTCGGGATTGCAGGAAAGTTTATAGGTGGGGAGTATTGGAAGCTTCTGGATTCTCCTCTGAAGGATTCAATTTCAATTAACAAGCAGGGAGGGAAGACACTGGGTGAATATAGGGTAAGAGGCAAAAAGAGAATGATTTAAGAGTTATTACAAAGAAGATAAAATTGACATGGAACAAGTAAAAAGGTAAAATATTGAAAGACCTGCAACACTCTTCTGTGCTTCCCTAGTAGCAACACCAATTTTCCTAGAAATTTGTAACACTGATTACTCTTCTGCTCATCCATAGTATATTGTCCATACAGAAAGGAAAACACTTGGGACTTTGTATTATCTAAAGTACTTATCATCCCCCATATAAGAACTGTAAACTTCTAAAAGATAATTCCTACATTTTTTTCATCATTGTTTCCCCACATCCTGTCACAATGTTTCATGCCAGGTAATTCTCAACAAATGTTTGTTACATTTTTAAAATATCTAAGCTGGACTTGTGTGCTGTGACTTCCCTGGATTGGGCCTTCTCTGCCACTGCATAGCTGTTTTCAGAACTGTGGTCTGAGGTGGTTTGTGTTGGTGGTCCATATTCATCAATACTTGCAAAGTCCAGTACTTTTGGCATTTGATATAAAATAATTGTTCCATTTTATCTGCTAATTTGTAACTCTAACATTACTCTTGGTTACATTTTTTCTACTTCTATCTGATTTAAACTGCTATAAGGATATCTGTTTATTCAGAATTTTCTTATTCATGTTAATTGTCTATGTTCCTTTATTTGCTCCCTATATTTTAAATCTTTACTTCACTTTGCTATTTCATCAGAAAGCAGTAGGCAAAACAGAAAAAAACCCAAATCAGGTAATTTTACTACTTAACAGTTTTTTATACATGTTCATAGAGATTGATGTTGTAGTTAATAGTGGGGTGATATTTTTAGACTACCCTTATTTATTAATTATTAGTGCAAAAGTTATTCAAATTATGGTTTATCCAGGTCAATTTTACTTTAAATTTTACTGATAGTATTTATTCTACTTAAATTGCTTCAGCTGCAAAATGTTTTTATTATGACCAACAGTGGAATGCAATTAATGATTTTGTATTTTTTGGAAAAATCATTTTCTAAACATAAGTTATAAAAATGTGGAATGTTCACCAATCACTTCTTGCTTACTTAGAGCCTTCTCAAAAAGTTTGATAGGATAACTAAGCTCCCATTTGTAATTCTTTTTCTAAAGGATAATTTTTAAAAAGTAAAACCATGATTCATACAGATATAAAATGAACACATGTCAAGGATTTTATTTCACTCATTAATTAACAAGCAAACCAGCAAGAAGGCAAAACCCTTTTAAAAGAAAATTGGAAGAACAGACACATTTATAGGCAATCAGGAATGCTGAAATGAATTTGCTAATAAATGCAAAATTGGTCAATATCCTCAGGGCAGTAAAATGTAATTTTTTTGGAATCTCCTCTTCCACCAGGTGGAAATCAGTTGCCAAATAAAATTTATTTATATCCATAGGGACACCAATCATTTGCCTTGTCATCAATTTTCTACAACTTACACAATTGTAAAATAACCCAAAGTCAGTGAAAGGCACAGGCACCTATAGAATCATGCCATCCCAAAGGATCTGTTACACAGTGCCTAGTACTCTGTTGAAAGGATGCCCAGTAATCTTTGCATCCATTTCAAAATCTTTCACCATATTGTTTTACACTCGCCTTCCTTTTTAATTCCAACATCATCATCCCTTTATTCTGTCTAACAGGGGAAGTAATTCACAACTCCAAGGTTTTGAAGAATGCAATGGAAGTCCAAATTATTCCTGGGGCTTCCTAATATTTGGGTGGCTAGAAACGTAGAAAATGGGAAGAGATAAACTGTAGATATCCACAAGGTTGGTTCAGACTATAATTCCCAGAAATAGAACATTTTGAACTAGTCAGAGAAGCTCCATATCATTACATTAAAATGCCAGATCATCTAGTTTTTAGAGTATCACTCTACATTTTTATAGCACAGTGTTTAAAGAACACTTGCCCATATATTTTCTCCTTTAATGCTCACAATTCTGTGAAGTATTCCAGTGTTTGTTTTTGTTCCTCTTACTTTGGGAGAGCAAACCAAGGCACAGACAAGTTAGTTGCTTAAGGGTGGCATACTGAAAAGTGGTAGAGATAGGACCTGTACTCAGGTGTTTTGACCACTGTCTAGTTCTTATTCTACTATGTATCCTTGCATTCAATTCAATGAGTATTTATTGAATAAAAATAATGTTCTTAGAATAATAATATTCTATACCTCTGATTTTTATTCCAGTTTATATAATAGGAAGAAATCTTAAGAATGAACTATTAACAAAGTTAATATTTACATTTGTTAGTACTTTGTGCTTTTTTTCAGGAAAAGCCAGCTAGCTACTTAGATAAAAAGAGTTACTAAATGGCTGAAGAATATGGAAGACAACTACAATTTCCCCACATTCTTGTACATTTTAGTTGAATGGGGAGTGATTGCATTTATTTACCTTGTCCCTCTTTTATAAGGCAACAATTGGTAGTTTATCCTATTGAGAAGAGTTGATAGGATACTTCCACTTATTAGCAGTATCTGCTCTTGGTTTCAGCCTGTTTCTTAGCTTTCTGAGTGGCTTATGGTTTCTTGAGGAAAGAAATACCTAAAATATACATTTGGGAATTGTTATTCTGTAGTATCAGTGAAATGTGGGGGTAGGAAAATGCCATTCATTTGAACATAATCCTTTGTAAGACTTGTGTACAAAATGTCTATTGCTATCTATATTTTGCAATGGGAATGTGGCCATAGCAAAATGTTTTTTTTCTCATTAGTATTCTGAGACTTTCCATCCTAGTGGAAAGATGTGATTTGATTCATCTGATTTACTTTGTATATTAAAATACAGTAGAACCTGCCACTTTTTTTGGAAATGCAGCATAAAGATAGAGATAAATTTCATATCAGTTCTGCAAGTTCTATTTAGAAGAAGTGTATTGCAGTTGAGACTGAATATAATATTTGGTTTGATTTTCTGTTCAAAATTTTCCCATGGTAAGGACAATATTTTCCTACATATATCAGTAGGCAGTAATGATTACTTCAAAGCTTCCAAAGCCAGATACTACACCTGCATGTTCCAACACAGTAGTTGAATGTATTCCCAAGATGCATGGTAATGTATACTTTGTATTACTGAGAATGAATAACAAAAAGTTATAGTGTTGTCTGCCAGCTGTGCAAGTTAATATTAAAATAATTTGTTTCTGTTTTCCACCTTTCAGGTTTTCTCTTCATTGCTACACTGCTTATATAAGTGAACAATTGAAACATTGCTCTTTATCTTAGGAATTTAAAAATTAACATACCTAAAATCTTATGGTGTAGAATTCTATAATTAAATAAAATATTTTTCTTTTTCCTTTCCAGGTTCAGCTCAGCTACTATTTAATAAAACAAAATCTGTAGAATTCACGTTTTGCAATGAAACTGTTGTCATCCCGTGCTGTGTTAATAATATAGAGGCAGAAAACCTTAACGAACTGTATGTAAAGTGGAGATATAAAGGAAAAGACATTTACAGCTATGATGGTGTTGTCAACAAGTCCGCTACCTACGGTGATTTTCACAGTGCAAGAATGGACGTCCCAGAATTACTAAAAGGGGATGCCTCCTTGAAGATCGATAAGAGTGAAGCTCTCTTAGGAAATTATTCATGTGAAGTGACAGAATTAAGCAGAGAAGGCGAAACCTTCATAGAACTAAAATATCGTGTTGGTAAGACTTCTCTAAAAGCTTTCTTTTTACTTTTCCTGATACAACCTGATTCTTTTAGAAGGGGGGCAAAAGAGGGTTAGGAGCTCCTTTGAATCAAAAAGCAGGCTATTAATAATAAATGTTGATGTACTGTTAAGCAGCTTTAAGATCATGAGTCCTATCTTATTTACTCTTCTAGTTTTTGCAGTATTTACTGCTAATTTGTATACTGTGTGGGTCTCAAACTTTTGGTTTGAGAACTATTCTATTTGGTGGTTGGTCCTGGGGTCATCTAGTCTACATTTCTCTTTGCTGCCATCAAAAGTATTTTCTTTCCTTTGATTAATTTTCAAGGCTCTTTCCAATTATTTAGCCATTTTTTATTTATGTGTGTATGTATTATGTAACCTTACACTTTGGCCAAGGGTTGGCAAGTCCCAGCCACACTCCTTCTTGAGGTAATAGATTAGAAGGAGAATCAGGAGATTAAATTAGGTGATCATGGATGACTTCTTAAGGCTTTCTGTACTTAGCCTTGCTTTGGTGTTCTTTTCCTTGGTCAAAATGAGGAAGAGCTAGGGATCCAAATTAATTTATTTCAATTCAGGCTTGGTTACAGCACCATAATTCTGCCCTCTCTTCACAAACGTGGGTTGGTGAGTTGTATAAAGTACTAAAGTTAGCTGAAGTAAACAGTCTCTTTTCTTTGCTATTTCTTGCTTGATTTCTTCAAACACATACAAGTACGTTCTGACTTTGTGTTTTGAAATCTCTAGTTAGGATCACCAGTCATATTACTGATCTTGGAATGAACTGTCCTTTGAGAACCTCTGCTCTAGATGGAATCAGAACAGTTCCATTGGATCAACTATTTGCCTAGCTTTTACCGTTATAAAATATCTGCTACCAGATTGGGAATGGGGGCTCTGGTTTGGTGAAATATTTTGGCATTGTTTAGGATTGGGAATCGGAAATCTGAGTTATATCCCCTTTTCAGCACCTTACTATTCATCTTGGTGACATTGAGAAGTTACCTCACCAAGTCCAAGTGACCTGATCTCTAGATTGGGCATAAAAGTAGATATTCTTTTTATGTATTCTACAAAATCTAATGAGCGTCAAATGAAGTCTCATGTGGACAAGTTCTTTGTAAATCAAAGTGTGTTGTACACATTAGCTGTTTTCCTGGGATGTTTATTTTGTAAGATATCAAGTTGCTGAAGTTAGCCTGGATTGATATGAGAGGGATTTGTGTACAGTGAGGAATGGGCAGGATGGCTCAGAGTAGACAAGGAGAATTTAGAAGGTTTTTCTGCTCAGAAATCTCTCTTACATTGTAACTTTTACTATTGACATTAATTTGGGCTAAGGAGATTTTTAATATACATATATTTATATATTAAAAATATGTATTTGCATGTAAATATATTATAAATAAATAATATATAATAACATATATTATAATATATTAATATATATTATGCACACATACACCCCTTTCAGGAGGGATCTAATCAGTCAGTCATGTGTGCTGTGAGTGGCTGGAGTTAGATAATCTAATATCTCCTTGAAATTTTTCTGAGAAAGTATACAGTTTCATGGGAATGAAAGAATAAGACATGGAAGAAGAGTAATTTTATAGGTCACTGAGATGTAAACTGGTAAGCTCGAGAGATGAGACTTGAAAGGCCAGAAGGTGAAATGAAGATGGATGGGAGAGGAAGACCAGTGTCTGAGATGAAGACATCATTAATGATTTTGCATGTGATTGTTTTGTATTTCTTTTTTCCCCAAAAATACCTTATGAAAATAAGAACTAGGCTGTCTTTTTGGGCCCTTAAAATGAGAAAGTATTATTTTATCATAGAGAATGTAGAAAATTTTACCAGAGGCTTGAGACATTTGGCTTTATATCCATTTTTATTTTTGAAATAATTTTTGATTCATAGGAAGATTCAAACATAGAGAGGTACTGTGTGCCCTTCACCCAACTCTCCCCGCCCCCAGTGGTTACATCTTATGTAACTATAACACAGTATCAAAACCAGGGAGTTCACAGTGGCACAGCGTGTGTGTGTGTGTGTGTGTGTATGTGTGTGTGTGTGTGGTTCTCTGTCCTGTCACATGTGTGCATTTGTGTCACTACGCCCACAATCAGAATGTAGAGCTCTTCTGTCAACACAAACATCTCCATCATGCCAACCCTTTGTAGTCACATCCCCTATCTCCCACTATCCCTAGCCTGGCACACACTAATTTTTCCTCCATATCTTTAATTTTGTCATTTCAACAATGTTTTATAATGAAACCATGCAGTAGGTTACTGCATGGTTTTCAGATTGGCCTTTTCACTCAGCTCAATGCCCTTGACATATGTCCAGTTTGTTGTGTGCATCTGTAGTTTCCTTTATCTTTTTTCTTTTGTTGTTTTTTGCTGAGTAGTACCCCATGGTGTGGGTATATCACAGCTTGTTTAACCTTCACCTCTTGTAGGACATTTTGGTTGTTCCCAGTTTGGGGTGATTACAAATGAAGCTGTTATGAACAATTGTGCACAGGTTCTTATGTAGACATAGTTTTCATTTCTCTGGGATAAATACTTACAAATACAGTTACTGGGTTGTTATGGTAAGTGTATGTGTAGTTTTTAAGGAAACTGCCAAACTGCTTTCTTCCACAGTGGCTGTTTCATTTTATATTCCCATCAGAAACGTAAGAGTGATCTAGTTTCTCTACATCCTTGCCAGCATCTGGTGCCTCTATTTCGCACCCATTTTTTTACTGGAAAAAAAATACAAAAATGTTAAATGGGCAGGATTCTTACTATGGAATATAAATTTGTTGTAATAAGGATACTTACCCATCATGAGGACTTTGAGGATATCGGTATTAGAAACCATTTTTACTATGCTGTGCTTTCTTGTAGATACACAGATATAGGCATAAATGATAAATAGAAATTACTCAATAGGGAATTGAATTCCACTTACTAGAATGCAGGTAATGGTGACCATTCTGTGTGGGGGTTTTTTCTTTTCTTTTTTTCTTTTTTTTTTTTTTAGCACTAGGATTGAATACATGGAAACACAATAAGATATAGTTTTATATACCTCTGGTGCCTGTGTATACTATAGTACTATGGAAGGAGCACCAGACTGGAATTTAGAAAGTTTTTTATGTTGACATTTTATAGTTTAAGAAAACTTGGGTGAGAAATTCAATTTATCAGGTCCTCAGATTCTTATCAGTCCTATGGGGATACCATCTTCATCACAGAAATGTTTGAGATATAAATGAGATAATATCTCTCTTACTTAACAAAGATTTATTGAGTGCCTATTACATGTCAGACACAGTGCTAGACACTATGGATTCAATGATGACTAAGACTTAAACCCTGATTTCAAGGAAGTGATTACAGTACAAATAAGAAGAGTAAAATGGACCTAACATTTATTTGAACACATGCCAGATGCTTTATGTACGTTGTGTCTTGTTATCTTCTCAAGAACTCTGGGAGATAGATGTAGGTCTTACCAATTAACAAATGGGGAAGCAAAAGAGATTCAAGGTACTTGTTCAAAGTCAGAGTAACAGCCGGGATTTTAACCTAGACCTCTCTGGCTATAAAACCCAACATTTTATCACCATAATATATAGTTTCTGTGAAAATACCTTGTCAGTAACCAAACACTAATATAAATAATAGTGGTAATGAAATTTGTTATAAATATTTATGTTATTATTGATATAAAAACTTGGAAGTTTTAAATTTATTTTTCTCTAAGATATTAGAGTTTTGATTTTAAAAGTTTAGTTCAGGTTCAAGAAAGTTGCCAATTCCCTTATTATCAACATGATACACGCTGTTTATAATGATGACATAAAAGCATTATAAGATCCTTGTATTAGTTTTCTAGGGCTATGTAGCAACTGTTTTCATTTTGTTGAATCTCTCTCTCATATTGAATTTATTTTGCCAGAAAGAGCCCAGACCCTTTTAAGAGATCACTTGATTAGGTCAGCCTTCTCTCCTTCAAGAATAATCTCCCTTTCTTAAAGTCAACTAATTGGAGACCTTAATTATATCAGTGAACTCCTTTTGGCCAGGTGACATACCATAATTATAGAAATGAAATCCAACATATTCATAGTCTTACCCCTACACAAGAGGAAGGAATTATGAAAGGCATGTATTTCAGACAGGGGTTTGGGGGCCATCTTAGAATTCTGGGTTTGATTAAATAACAGGACTGTAGCCTGGCCCAGTCAGCACATCAAAAAGCTATCATAATCCTGAAGCATCAAGTAAAAATTTGGTTTGAATTTTAGTGTTAATAAATGTTACTGTGATTTTTATTTGTTTATTTTTTGGTGGAAATGTGTTATCTGCATTTATGGAGGTTTGCATGCATCTATTTGAAGGAGAAACACATTTAGTTGATCAGAGTGATCTCTTTTTCAGGTTGTGCCATTTTTGTACATAGTGATAAGAAAAATGAGATCCTGGGGCTTAATAACACTTAAGTTTGGAAGCAAAATTTAACCTCAACAATGCCAGCCTCTTATTATCATTTCTTTGCCTTTCCAGTAGTAAGAAGTTAATTTTCTTGGGAACCACTCTGCCTGACCAGGTATTGGGGGAGAGTGATGGGCAGAGTTATTAGCCATAGCTCAGGTGGAATAGGATGTAGATGCCCTTGGATTATCTTTCTTAATCCTGAGATGGGAAAAGATTTTTGTTCTTGTTCTTAGTCCATTTTAATTTTAATAATTTCTATTTTAAGCTATTTTCTTAGTGTCATAGAAATTCAGAGCTGAAAGGGGTTTCAGAGACGTATCTTGTCTTACTTCTTCCTTGGGGAACAAGAGTTAGCATCATCTGCCAATACTACCATAACAAATCAATAGCTTAATGGGCATATAAATGGTTTTAGATAAAACATTGGGGGGTTTTTCCCCTCAGCATCTCAGTTGGTTCTTAAATGTCCAATTCAGTGCTTCTCAAATTTTTCAACTGTAACAAATTAGAAAGAGGAAACCATTCATGTCAGTGACGGGAGCTAAACTCCAGCAGAAATCTGCAGCAGTGATTTTAAACTGAGAAGCATCATTGGCATCCAGCTCACCCACTCTTATCCCCCACTTACCATCAGGGACCATATTAAAATATTGGGGTGAAAAGGGAGAGTGTGCGAGGCCTGAAAACCAAGTGATTTTGATAAGCTCCAGTTAAGAATCATATTTTTTTGTTCTATAATCCCACTCTCTGTCATTGCAATGTGTCTTATATTTCTTTTTTTTTCTTTTTTTTTTTTTTTTTTTTGAGACGAGTCTCACTTTGTTTCCAGGCTGAAGTGAGTCCGTGGCATCAGCTAACTCACAGCAACCTCAAACTCATGGCTCAAGCGATCCTCCTGCTCAGCTCCGAGTAGCTGGACTACAGGCATGCGCCCACCATGCCGGCTAATTTTTTTTATATAGTTAGTTGGGCAATAATTTCTTTCTATTTAATAGAGACAGGGTCTCGCTCGCTCAGGCGGTTCGAACTCCGAGCGATCTCCCAGCCTCGCCTCCCAGAGAGCTAGGATTACAGGCGTGAGCCACCGCGCCCGGCCTGTGTCTTATATTTCTTATGACTTCTGCATAGAATCTTGGAGTCTGTAAGTAGTCATCTAGTTTATCTCAGCATCTAATTCACAGATTACTTCTATCATGCCCCATGTAGTTGGCCATTCAGACTTTTGACCTAAATGCTTGAGATAAGGAGACATTATTGCTTCCCAAAGGATCTTGGTCTATTATCAGGCAGTTTCATTTCTTCCTTAAGTCAAGGCAAACTTGCTAGCCCTGTAATTTCTCACTCACTGGGAGGGCTTTAGTATTTCTCCCAAGTTTATTCTTCTCTAGGATAAAAATCCCCAGCTATTTAGCCATTGCTCATAGTTTCAGGATCTCTGTTCTAGTCATCTTCCTTTGAAGCAGTTCCCTGTTATATCTTTACTGTGATGAGTAAAACTGAACTCAGGACTGTTTTTCGGTCATGCCCTTCTACCTCCCAAGTTACCATTGTTGCTGTAACTCTCTGACAGGTCTTTCTTCTCTGTATCTATTCCACATGGCTGCCAAAGAAATTTTAAATAAGTCAGGTCATTTTTCTTCCCTATTTGAAGCCTTCCAATCACTTGTCCTTGCTCTTAGAATAAAATCCAAACTCTTAACAAGCTGCTAAGACTCAACATAATCTTGCCCCAGCAAACTCTTCCCATCTGATCCCATATCACTAAGTCCCAGCCACAGTGGCCATCATTTGGTTCCTTGGACTCGTTCCTTTGGCACCTCTTCTTCCCTGCCTTCACACGCAGGCTCCTTCCTGTCCAAGGCTCTCTTCGAGGTTCTCTCCAGAGGTCTTTCCTTACTGCCCCGAGAGAGTCTGTTCCTCAGCTCCTGCCCTCCTCAAGCTCAGGCCGCCCTGCCTTGTTCACTGCTGGACTTTTAAGAGCCGAGAGAAGTATCTACCCATGGTGGAGCTTTCAATAAATGTTTGTGGGATAAGTGAAAAATTTGTGGTCAGACCAGAGTCATATACACCTCTTATTAATAATTTCTATTAGTGTATCCTAAGATGGTTCTGTTGAATAAGGGGCGAGTCTAGTGAAAGAACATTTCATCATCAGCTCATATTGAACATGAGATCAGATACTGGCTGTGTTTTGAGAGTGGAGCTGGCAGGATTTGCTATTGGACTAGATGTGGGATGTGAGAGAACCCAAAGAGTCAAGTAACTCCAAGGTTTTTTGTCCCTGAGCAGCTGGAGAAGTGGAGTCCCCGCTACTGAAATGAGGACATCTGGGAGGGGAGGTTTGATGGGAGGTGGGTGTGAGACTATCAGGAGTCAGTTTGCTGCATGAAAACTTAAGAAGCTTAAGAGCCTTAATTCACTGTGCCTCAGTTTCCCTGACTTTAAGGAGGGATTAATAGTTCCTCATATGATAATTGTGAGGATTTGAAGAGTTAATGTGCATAACTCAAAACAAAATAATGATGGTAGTAGGTAAGGAGGAATAAATTGATTAAACATAGTTATTAAATCATCGAGCTTTTTCCAGATCCTTTGGGCATTAGATATCAAAAACCTAGGCATGATTCACAACGTTTTTTTTTTCTGGTAGGATTTTATGCTGTATTGAAGTGGGGTTTTGGGGGGGCGTATAGGAAGATGACCAATTATATGGTTAGAAATTAAGGTATTGATTCAGGGTATCTAAAAATATGTATCTCTTGGAAGAGATCTAAAACCATGGGTACATCAAAAAAATTTTCTTTCATTCACTTGCTAAACTATGACGACTGCTGTAACCTTGTATTGAATCTCTACTATGTATAGGGGAAAACACTAGATTCTGAGAAGCTAATTTCTCTAAGAAAGAGTTCATAATTTTGTTATATTCTAGGGATTAATATAAGCATTTTTCCAGGTTAACATAAGCTTAATACAAGAAATGTGTGTGTGGCCATCATTATGGAATGGAAAGCCACAGAGTTCCTCATCCGCTGATCCTGAGGGGCAGAGCAGGGTAGGATTTGAAATAGAAGTGCTGATTTCAGAGGAATGACAGTGCTTGCTTAGGGCAGTGTTCAGAAGTGCTCTTTCTACAGCACAGCCCTCTGTACAGGCAAACGTGGGAATGCTTTCATTGCATTCACCTGGCTTTATTGCTGGAAAAGAAATTTCATAGCTAAAATTATGAGCTATGGGCTTATAAAATGCAATTAAACTTAATTTTTTTAAAGTTCTAAACAAATCTTATTTGAAGTCTTAATATCTTAATTTCCTTTATATAGGATGTGTAGATATCTTTTCACTGTAAAAGTAACATGTGACCCACTTCATAACAGCTTCCTTGATAGCCTAAAGCCACGCATGTTACTTTACATGTAAATAAGCCTCTGAAGCATAATTATTCATGAATAAGTCTAATATTGCAGAGTAAGTTAGAGAAAAGGCAGGGCTCATCTCTCTTGGTCTTTGTCAGGGAGAGGGTACCTAGTGATACAGCTTCCTCCCTTAGGTCCCCTGAGTCAGTCTTTATAGGAACACTTCATTGTTGCTTAAAGGTAAACTCTTGGCACTGTACACATACGGATATTCAACATATAAACATATAATAATAATTGTATTTCTAGTACTTGTATTACTTGGTAAGTGCAGAGCTTTGTTTCAAGCTCTTTGCATATACTTTATTAACTGTTAATAGTTATAACAATCCTTCAGGGTGTAGGTACTATTAATATGTTATACCCATATAACAACGGAGGACACTGAAGAACAGGGAGGGGTTAAGACATTGTCAAGGTTACGTAGATTGTGGAATTAGAGCTGAGTTCAAACGCAGGCATTGTGGCCACAGAGCCCTGTTCCCAGCTACCGTGCTATACTATCACCTTCCATAAAATATGGGTTAGCAAAAATTTGAGAAACAGTAACTATAGTTTTTTGTTTCATAAATGAAATTTTTTATATAGGTAAATTATGTATAATTTGTTTCGTGTATGCATATAAATATATGTAAGAATCAAGGCTACTGCTTTAATTATTTTTATCTCCACATTAAAACATATATTATAGACCATTTGTAGGATTTGAAATGATTATAGTAAATATTAATTGTGATTTTTGTTTTCTATCTCCCCAGTTCCATGGTTTTCTCCAAATGAAAATATTCTCATTGTTATTTTCCCAATTTTTGCTGTACTCCTGTTTTGGGGACAGTTTGGTATTAAAAGTAAGTATTTCAACTTTGCATTTATTTTTCAGCGATGAAATTTTTATTTCTAGGAGGCATTATTAGTGAAATAGTTTATTTAAATAAGTTGTTTTAGGAAGAGTATTATTGTGATAAATAAGACTATGCAGCTTGAATATTAGTAGTCTCCTTGAAATATATATTGTTGCCCATATTTTGCTACAGTTCACTTTTAATTCCTAATAAGGTGTGTTTTATTTGTTGTTGTTTTTATTTATTTATTTCAAAATATTATGGGGGTACAAATATTTTTGGTTACATGGATCACTTTTGTTACACTTGAGTCAGGGTTATAAGTGTGCCCATCACCCAGGTATTGTTCATTGTACCTGTTTGTTAGGTTTTTGCCCATCCCCTCCTTTCTCTCCCCCTTACTTGATTTCCACTGAGTTTAACTTCCTTCTGTGTGCATATGTGCTTGTGAGTTAGTTCCAATTTAATAGCAAGTACATGTGGTGTTGTTTTTCCATTCTTTAGATACTTTACTTAGAATAATAGCTTCCAGTTCTATCCACATTGTTGCAAAAGGCCTTAATTCTTCCATCTTGGTGGCTGAGTAGTATTCCATTATATATATATATATATATATATATATATATATATATATATATCCGATTTTTTTAATCCACTCATGACTTGGTGGGCACTTGGGTTGATTCCACATCTTTGCAATTGTGAATTTTACTGCAATAAACATTCAATATTTTAAAGGTTGCAGAATAAATTAAATCAGTATTATTTATTTCTTGCTTAGATAAATGTTTACTGATCTTCAGGGTAGTACTACAGAGAAAGTAGGAATAAATCTTACATTTGTCTTTTTGATAAAATGACTTCTTTTCCTTTGGGTAAATACCCAGTACTGGGATTACTAGATCAAATGGTAGATCTACTTTCAGTTCCTTGAGGAATCTCATGATGTTTTCCATAGAGGTTGTACTAATTTGCAGTCCCACCAACAGTGTGTAAGCGTTCCTTTTTCCCTGCATCCATGCCAGCATACACTGTTTTTGGAATTTGTAATAAAACAGCCATTCTAACAGGGGTAAAGTGAGATCTCATTGTGGTTTTAATTTGCATTTCCCTGAAGATTTAGTAACATTGAGCATTTTTTTTCATATGTTTATTGGCCATTTGTCTTCTTTTGAAAAGCTTCTGTTCATGTCTTTTGCCCACTTTTAATGCGGTTGTTTTTTTCTTACTGATTTGCTTGAGTTCTTTGTAGTTTCTGATTATTAGCCCTTTATTGGACATATAGCTTGTGAATATTTTCTCCCATTCTGTAGGTTGTCTATTTGTTCTGTTAATTATTTCCTTAGCTGTGCAGAAGCTTTTAATTTAATCAAGTTCCATTTATTTATTTTGTTTGTTGCTGTCATTACCATTGGGGTCTTTTTCATGAATTATTTTCCTAGGCTGATATCTAGAAGAGTTTTTCCTGCATTTTCTTCTAGAACTCTTACGGTTTCATGCCTTAGGTTTAAGTCTGCTATCCATCTTGAATTAATTTTTATGAATGGCGAGAGATATGGATCCTGTTTCATTATTCTGCATGTGGCTATCCAATTTCCCACCACTATATATTGAATAGGGCTTCTCTCCTCCAGTGTATATTGTTGTCTCCTTTGTCAAAGATCAATTGACTATGCATGAATGGTTTTATATCTGTGTTCTCTGTTTGCTCTATTGGTCTGTGTCTCTATTTTTGTGTCAATACCATGCTGTTTTGTTTAATATAGCCTTGGAGTATAGTTTGAAGTCTGCAAATGTGATGTCTCCAGATTTGTTCTTTTTGCTTAAGATTTCTTTGGCTATTCAGGTTCTTTTGCAGTTCCGAACAAAGCATAGAATTATTTTTTTCTAGAGTCCATGAAATATGATGTTGGTGGTGTTGTTTTAATCTCTCAAGAATGAATAGTGGGAATATTAGTAATAACAACACCTAAATTCACATAGCATTTTAATATTTACAGAACATTTACACACATAATATTTTATTTGGTAAACGGTAACAGGCTACCTTAGTGTTAAGATAGAATGTTATACTTTGTAGAATTTAGATTCCCCTCTTTTTATTTTCCCAGTTTGAATTTCTCCATGTACATGTGTTTACTCTCGAAAAGGCCCAGTTAGAACCATGTTTTGTCATCCTCACCATTCAGTTCTGTAGCCTCTAAAGAGGCAGCCATGGGAGAGTTGTGTTCTCTGATCTTGCTTTCCTATAATACTCATATAACCAGACTTCTGCATCAGATTTAGCATCAACAATATAGAATTGTCATTACTAGGTAAATAGGTAATATGCTTTCTGATTAACGTTTATACTCAACTATATTCACCTATTTTGATTAAGGTAATTTACTACATTGCTGAAATCCTGAAATGATAGTCTAAACTTTTAAACTTTTAAAAGGTAAGATTTATTCCTACTTTTCTCTATAGTTCCCTGAAAACCACCAAACATTTATCTAGGCAAGGAATAAATAATACTGATTTAATTTGTTCTGCAACCTTTAAAATATTGAAAGCTAGTAAAATATTATAGTAGGTTGGCTACTACAATATTTTATATTTCATGAATTTTACTTTTACTCAGAAGTTTAAGCCATGTGTGTCTATAGTGATATATAAAAATGGTAGGGAGATGACTGATTATGTTTTAAGAGTTTTTCTCAATGTATGGCACTTTGGAATTGCTTAGTGATTTCAGAGATGTTCTCAACTTTTGTCTAAAATGATAAAAAAAAAAAAAAGGGGAAGAAAGGGCTGAAAGTGGCAACTGTCAAGTCATTTCACAAATCTTACTTTCAAGACAGTAAGCCTTTTTATGCCTAGATGCTGGTACAGCATCAAGACCTATTCTGTCATCACTGATATTAGGGAGAGCTTTTAACCATATTGGCAGACCCAGGCTTTAAGGGCTAAGTCATATGATTTGGGCAGGGAAGACTGTGAAATTATTTCACATTAGTGTGATTTGTTGAGTTTGGATTGATAGACGTTTGCTGATCGTGGCATTATCATTAGTAACATCATTTTTAGCAGAATGAACCAGGAGGGAATCTGTTCACTGTCAGCTGAATTTTTAGAAAATGAGCTTTATGGGTTTTTTTTTTCCTGACTTAAAGAAATACATATCACTTTAGAACACCTTATACTATATGGGAAGTTATAGAGGAAAAACCAAAAATCATCTGGAGTCTCAAAGCCTAGAAATAAACTATTGGTGTATTCTAGGGAATTTTCTGTTTTTTTCTATTCCTTTTTGTTACCAAATCATAAATGGACTCATATAGCTTACATACTTGTGCATTCTGATTTTCCCCCTATGTCTTCAGAAATCCTGTTATAGCTGCCTGTGCTCTACTTCTGTGGATGTACTATAATTTACTTAACTCTCATCTTGATGGATTTGAGGATGTTTCCAATTTTTTGTGATACTATGAAAATAACTCTACTAAAGATATGTAAGCCTGGAAATGGCAAAGATATTTTAAGGCTCTAGTTATATGCTGCCAAAATATTTCCAGAAACATTGTATCAATTACTATTGCAGATGAGAATACCTGTCTTTTACCTCGCAGTCCTGACATTATTATAATTCTAAAATCTTTGCTAATTTGATGTGTGAAAAAACATGTTGTTTTGATTTTTATTTTTGTGTTAGTGAGGTTGAATGTTCTTTTTTATATTTTTTCTACTGGTCATATTTTAAGCAACGTGCTTATGAACCTAAAGAAATATTTTTTGGCTCATCTTAAAACAAGTAGATGCAGCATGTGTATGTGTGTGGAAGAGGTGTCTGTGTGCTTGATTCACCCAACCTGGACTCATTTAAAGGTGTCGATAACAGTAGATAAACACTTATGATACTCTTGCTCTGTGTGATAGGCACTGTGCAAAGTGTTCTACATCTGAAATCATATTTATTTCTGCCAAGAACTCAATGGGCATAGGTACTATTGTTATTCCTATTTGGTAGATGAGAAACTGAGGCACAAGTTTCTAACCTACATGAAGACAGGTTAGGCAATTTGCCCACAATTACCCATCCATTTGCTGGTAGTACTGGGATTTGAACCAATGCTGTTTATTACTACACTATGCTTCCTCTCTGTTTTGAAGTTATTTTGAGGCTTTTCTTTCCATGAAGGGTGAACCTATATTTAGGTGCACACACTAGATGATTAGAAGAAACTGTTATTGATACAGCAGAATGCTAACCTAATTTGTTCATTTATTCTTCAAATACCTATTGACAGGGTGCCTACTGATGGCTAGGCACTAGGCTAAATGCTGGGAATATGGAAGTGAACCTCATATTGGCCTGGCTTGGTAGTACTCACATTTTGGCCGAGGAGACATGTACGCATGCCTGTCTTTTGCCTTCTGTCATGTCCTGCATGGATCTGAACCTAACTTTTCTGTTAGAGCCCTTTGTAAGAGGCCTCCTGTTTAAGGCCTGAGCTTCCACCAAATAGGAGAGTGCCTCTCTTTTCCACCTGCTTGGTTATGTGTTTTATAGAATCCGGTATGTTACCGTCCTCAAGGTATTAATAGTAACTCAGGATCCCTTGACTTTTACTTTCCAGATTTCTAGTTCTTGTTAACTTTTCCTAATTACCATATATGGTCTACACTTAACTACAGGTGGTTTCTCTCAGTGGTTTTTCTAGTTCTGCATGTGAGTCTTTCTGTGGTCCAAGATAAAACCTTGGCCTTCACTAGGCTAAAATTTCATTAAAGACAGCAGGTTATGCCCTTACTTTGAGAAGAAAGATTTTCTTTATACCAGAACTGTATCCTGAACTCTATCTCCAGACACCGCGGGTCCTACTGAGGAAGAAGCCTGTGAAAACATCTAAACTCCCAAAGCCCGGCCAGGACTTGGTGAGCCCTAGGCCACGTTTCAAAGACAAAGGTCTCTTATGGGGAAATGCTCCTAAATATCTTTGCCTTTAGCTTTAACTTACAAACTT